CCCCCGGCCGCCCCCGAGCCCCCCGCCCTGCTCAAGTCCTACCGGTGGCGCACGGCGACCCCCGGGGGGGACCCCGAGAGGAGCGGGGGGTCCCCGGGGAGCCGGCGCTGGGCGCGGCTGCAGGGCTGGAAGCGCTCCTACAGCCACCCCGACACCGGCGACAGAGGTGGCGACAGAGGTGGCGACAGAGCCGGCGACAGAGCCGGCGACAGAGGTGGCGACAGAAGTGTCGCCAAGGCCAGCGCGCGGCGCTCGCTGTTCCGGAGGGCGTTCTCCGCACCCCCCAAGGCACCCAAGGGTGCGGGGGACAGCAGGGGACACGAGGGGACAGCGGGGGACAGCGGGGGACACGAGGGGACAGCGGGGGACAGCGGGGGACACGAGGGGACAGCGGGGGACAGCGGGGGACACGAGGGGACAAGGGCGCCCCTGCAGCGGTACCTGCGCTCCGTGGGCAGGAGGAGGGGACACGGGGACAGCGCGGGCGGGGCCGAGCTGGAGGGGACAGGTTTATGGGGTGAAGGATTTTGGGGTGAGGGGTTTTGGGGCGGGAATGGTGGATTTTGGGGTGATGGATTTTGGGGTGATGGATTTTGGAGTGGGGGGTTTGGGGTGGGGCTCTGGCACCGGCACCAAACCCGGCCAAACCGGCTCGGCACCGGCGCTGCCACCCACAGTGCTGGCACGGTGCCACCCGGGCTGTCCCTGCGTGTCACTGTCACTATCCCTATCACTGTCCCTGTCCCTGTCCCTGTCACTGTCCCTGTCCCTGTCCCTGTCCCTGTCACCGTCCCTGTCACTGTCCCTGTCCCTGTCCCTGTCCCTGTCACTGTCACACTGCCACCACCAGCACTGCCACCCCATGGACACGTGTCCCCTGGCACTGCCACGCTGGTGGTGTCACCTCCATGGCCACGTGTCCCTTGGTGTCACCTCACTCCTGGTGTCACCTCACTCCTGGTGGCACCTCCATGGCCACCTGTCCCTCGGTGTCACCTCACCCCTGGTGTCACCATCATGTGTGCCTCGGTGTCACCTCACCCCTGGTGTCACCTCCATGTCCTCAGTGTCACCTCACTCATGGTGTCACCTCCTCCTGGCCCCCCGGTGGCACGCCCAGCCCCTGTCCCCGCCGTGGGTGACAGTGACAGTGACACCCACGCCCGCTGTGTCCCCTCATTGGTGACAGTGACAGTGACACCCACGCCCGCTCTGTCCCCTCAGTGGTGACAGTGACAGTGACACCCACGCCCGCTGTGTCCCCTCATTGGTGACAGTGACAGTGACACCCACGCCCGCTGTGTCCCCTCAGTGGTGACAGTGACAGTGACACCCACGCCCGCTGTGTCCCCTCATTGGTGACAGTGACAGTGACACCCACGCCCGCTGTGTCCCCTCATTGGTGACAGTGACAGTGACACCCACGCCCGCTGTGTCCCCTCATTGGTGACAGTGACAGTGACACCCACGCCCGCTGTGTCCCCTCATTGGTGACAGTGACAGTGACACCCACGCCCGCTGTGTCCCCTCATTGGTGACAGTGACAGTGACACCCACGCCCGCTGTGTCCCCTCATTGGTGACAGTGACAGTGACACCCACGCCCGCTGTGTCCCCTCATTGGTGACAGTGACAGTGACACCCACGCCCGCTGTGGGTGACAGTGACAGTGACAGTGACAGTGACAGTGACACCCACGCCCGCTGTGTCCCCTCATTGGTGGCAGTGACAGTGACAGTGACACCCACGCCCGCTGTGTCCCCGCAGTGCCACCCCCGGGGACGTCCCCGCCGCCGGTGGCCGCGGTGCCACCCGATGCCACCGTGTGGGACGTGTCCCAGTTCTCGCTGCTGGACGGGCGCCTGGTGGCACTGGGCAGGGACCGGGAGGTGAGCGGGACACCGGCGGTGGCACCTCATGGTGTCCCCAAGGGGGTGGCACCTGGCACCTCGCCGTGTCGCCGGGGCTGGCACCTCATGGTGTCCCCAAGGGGGTGGCACCTGGCACCTCGCCGTGTCACCGGCGGTGGCACCTTGTGATGTCCCCTGGGTGTCAAAGTGGCACCTCACGGTGTCACCGAGGGTGGCACCTCGCAGTGTCCCCTGCAGGTGGCACCTCGCAGTGTCCCCAAGGGGGTGGCAGGTGGCACCTCATGGTGTCCCTTGAGGTGGCAGGTGGCACCTCGCAGTGTCCCCTGCAGGTGGCACCTCGTGGTGTCCCCTGGAGGGTGGCAGGTGGCACCTCACGGTGTCCCTTGAGGTGGCAGGTGGCGCCTCGCGGTGTCCCCAAGGGGGTGGCAGGTGTCCCCTCGTGACCCTGCGGTGTCCCCAGGGGGTGGCAGGTGGCACCTCGTGGTGTCCCCAAGGGGGTGGCACCTCGCCGTGTCACCAGGGGGGGTGGCACCTCACGGTGTCCCCTGGGTGGGAGGGTGGCACCTTGCAGTGTCCCCAGGGGGTGGCAGGTGGCACCTCGTGGTGTCCCCAAGGGGGTGGCACCTCGCCGTGTCACCAGGGGGGGTGGCACCTCACGGTGTCCCCTGGATGTCAAAGTGGCACCTTGCAGTGTCCCCTGGATGTCAAAGTGGCACCTCACAGTGTCCCCTGGGTGGGAGGGTGGCACCTCGCGGTGTCCCCAGGGGGTGGCACGTGTCCCCTCCTGACCCCGCGGTGTCCCCAGGGGGTGGCACCTCGCAGTGTCCCCTCCTGACCCCGCGGTGTCCCCAGGGGGTGGCACCTGGCAGTGTCCCCTCCTGACCCCGCGGTGTCCCCAGGGCCCCTGGCAGAGCAGGACCCGCGCTGGCAGTGCCACCTCCGAGGCCACCAACCTGTCCCCAGCGGGCAGGAGGGACCCGGGTGAGGACACGGGGGTGACAGGGGGGTGACACAGGGGGGTGACACAGGGGGGTGGCACAGGGAGGGTGACACAGGGGGGTGACACATGGGGGTGACAGGAGGGTGACACAGGGAGGGTGGCACAGGGAGGGTGGCACAGGGAGGGTGGCACAGGGGGGTGACACATGAGGGTGACATGAGGGTGGGTGCTGAGTGCCCCCCCAGAGCCGGATTTGAGGAGCCCCCGGAATGAGCCCCCCCCGAGCCAGGGCAGCAACGTCAAGGTGGGAGCGCGGTGGCACTGCCACTGTCACCTGTCACTGTCACCTGTCTCTGTCACTGTCACTGTCACTGTCAGTGTCACTGTGTCACTGTCACCTGTCAGTGTCACTGTCACCTGTCAGTGTCACTGTGTCACTGTCATTGTCATTGTCACTGCCACTGTCACTGTCAGTGTCACCTGTCAGTGTCACCTGTCACTGTCACCTGTCTGTGTCACCTGTCTGTGTCACTGTCACTGTCATTGTCATTTTGTCACTGTCACTGTCAGCTGTCAGTGTCACCTGTCAGTGTCAATGTCACTGTGTCACTGTCATTGTCATTGTGTCACTGCCACTGTCACCTGTCAGTGTCACCTGTCACTGTCAGTGTCACCTGTCAGTGTCACCTGTCACTGTCACCTGTCTGTGTCACTGTGTCACTGTGTCACTGTCACTGTCACCTGTCTGTGTCACCTGTCTGTGTCACTGTCAGTGTCACCTGTATATGTCACTGTCAGTGTCACCTGTCACTGTCACCTGTCTGTGTCACTGCCACTGTCATTGTCATTGTGTCATTGTGTCATTGTCACTGTCACTGCCACTGTCACCTGTCACTGTCACTGTCACCTGTCTGTGTCACTGTCACTGTCATTGTCATTGTCCTTGTCCCCTCTCCCTGTCCCATCCCTGTCCCCTGTTCCTGTCCCTGTGTCCCTGTCCTGTCACTGTCTCCATGTCCCTGTCGTTGTCCCTGTCCTGTCACCTGTCCCCCTGTCCCTGTCCCTGTCCCCCTGTCCCTGTCCCTGTCCCTGTCCCCCTGTCCCTGTCACCTGTCCCTGTCATTGTCACCTGTCCCTGTCCCTGTCCCCAGGGGCTGCTGTGGAAGAGGCTCCTCCGGGACAGGAAGAGCCGCGGTGGCACCAAGAGTGACCAGGGGGTGGTGGCACTGCCCGAGGGGGACAGGTAGGGGACACGGCTGCCCCGGTGACACTGCTGTCCCCTCAGGGTCCCGTTTTGGGGTCCCGGTGACACTTTTGTCCCCTTAGTGTCCCGTTTTGGGGTCCTGGTGACACTGCTGTCCCCATTTTCTTGCCCTGGTGACACTGCTGTCCCCGCAGGATCCATTTTTGGGGTCCCGGTGACACTGCTGTCCCCATTTTGGGGCCCTGGTGACACTGCTGTCCCCGTTTCGGGCCCTGGTGACACTGCTGTCCCCGTTTCGGGGTCCCGGTGACACTTTTGTCCCCTCAGGATCCTGTTTCGGGGTCCCGGTGACACTTTTGTCCCCTCAGGGTCCCGTTTCGGGGTCCCGGTGACACTTTTGTCCCCTCAGGGTCCCGTTTCGGGGTCCCGGTGACACTTTTGTCCCCTCAGGGTCCCCAGCCGCAGCGGCTCCCGCGAGTCCCTGGTGCCACCCCCCGAGCTGGACCTCACCGGGGACAACGTCACCGTGCGGCCGGTGCACGGCAGCGTGGTGGGAGAGAGGTTCTGCTTCCAGGTGAGGGGGGGACCCCGAAAAAGGGGGACCCCAAAAAGGGAGCCCCCAAAAAGGAACCCAAAAATGGCACCCCAAAAATGACACCCCAAAAAAGGAGCCCTAAAAATGGAGCCCAAAAAGGGAGCCCTAAAAAAGGCAACCCAAAAATGGCACCCTAAAAAGGGCACCCTAAAAAAGGAGCCCTAAAAAAGGCACCCCAAAAAGGATCCCAAAAATGGAGCCCCAAAAATGACACCCCAAAAATGGCACCTCAAAAAAGGAGCCCCAAAAAGAGAACCCTAAAATGGAGCCTGAAAAAGGGAACCCAAAAAGGGCACCCAGACCTTCATTGTCCCCTCATTGTCCCCCCGCTGTCCCCTCGTTGTCCCCTCGCTGTCCCCTCCCTGTCCCCTCCCCAGCCCCCCCCTGTGCCCTCTTTGTCC